GGTGGTGGGTGGTGGTGTGTGTGTGTGTGTATGTATATATATATATATATATATATATATATATATGAGGTTATCTGCATGCATCTCAAGAGTGTCTTCTGTCATATCTTTACAGCGTCTGGAGGGAATAAACAAAGAATACGACACCATGATTGTCATCTCTGACGCGACATGTCAGCGTATCGGTCATTGGTTCATTACTAGGTATGTGTATATGTACTTGTTCTATAATATAGTGTGTACGTTTATTACTAGGTATGTGTATATGTACTTGTTCTATAATAGAGTGTGTACGTTTATTACTAGGTATGTGTGTGTGCACTTGTTGCATACTATAGTGTGTGAGTTGTATTACTAGGTATGTGTATATGTACTTATTCTATATTATAGTGTGTGAATTTATATAGGTGTGTTATTCAACATAGTGTGTGTGAGAGTTTATTACTAGCTGTGTATATGTACTTGTTGTATATTATAGTGTGTGAATATATATAGGTTTGTTATGCAACATAGAAAGTGTGTAATATTTCATTACCAGCTGTGTGTATATGCACTTGTTGTGTATTATAGTGTGTGAATATATATATATATGTGTGTTATGCAACATAGAGTGTGTGTGTGATTTCATTACTAGGTATGTGTATATGTACTTGTTTTATATTATAGTGTGTGAATATATATAGGTGTGTTATGCAACATAGAGAGTGTGTGTGATTTCATTACTAGGTATGTGTATATGTACTTGTTGTATATTATAGTGTGTGAATATATATATATGTGCCATGCGACATAGAGTGTGTGTGTGATTTCATTACCAGCTATGTGGTGTGGTATATGTGTACATACTATCCGTATCCATCACGATGCCTTCCTAACATAGTTCTTTGGTTCTCATAGTACTAATTGTGCGTGTGTCTGTCTTAGTCTCTCCTGTTAGTCTTTCGCCACTTGTCTGCTCAGTTGATATGGTAGTCACTATGTGGGCTGTGGGCTGTGGCTCCATTGGTGTTGTCATTTCACTTGTGATATAATATTGGCATTCACCCTAAAATATATAAATCATAGCCTGTCTCACAATATGATGCTGGTATCCACCCTATTATATATCCGTTCTAATCTCTCTCACAATATAATATTGGCATCCACCCTAATATATATCCGTTATATCCTATCCGCTTCTGCGTTCCCGTTTCCACACACAGGCCGTTGGACGTGGTGGCTGTCAAGGGTAAACTTACAGCCGTTAAAATCCACGAGTTAGTATCACACATAGATATAGCGACTCAGCAAATAGTAAGTGAACACGTTGTGTAAGTGTGTCTGTGTGCGTAGGTTGCTCAGGTGACAGTAGGTTTGGTTTGTGGTGTTATTCGGTGGGCTTGTTTTATATGGAGGTATAGCAGTGGGGACATATAGTGAATGTATATTGATGGTTGGGTGGTGCGCGTGTTTATAGATGCGAGATACAAAGGAGGTTGTGAATGATATTTAAGATAAAAACGATATATGAAGATATGTATGTATGTATGTATGTATGTATGTGTGTATGTATGTGTGTACAAATGTATGTATGTATGTATGGATGGATGCATATATATATATATATATATATATATATATATATGTGTGTGTGTGTGTGTGTGTAGTATATATATATATATATAGTATAGTGTGTGTGTGTTATTNTATAT